AGAGAGAGAGAGAGAGAGAGAGAGAGAGAGAGAGAGAGAGAGAGAATGGATAAGCACCATTCGATCCGCGTAAAAGCTTAAACGTTCTGAATTAATCAACAAGCTCCCCGCTTTGTTTTCAGGACTGCTGAAGTGTTACTGCGACATTTGCGCGGACGCCAATTACACGTGCGAGACCGACGGCTATTGTTTCGCCAGCACAAGCTTGGAAAACGACGTCGTCACATATGCACGCAGGTAACGTATCTGCACGTGTGGATTTTCACATTTGACGAGTATACACGCGATTTATACACTCGAGAGCCCCTCTTTAATCCGGGATTCATCTCCCGGTAGTCGACGAATTTGTCGCCAATCGGACCGACACTCGAGATCGGAACTGACGAGCTTCCGGTCAGCCACAAATCGTACCACCCACCCCCGCTCACCGACCCACCTGTCCTGCCCCATTCAGTTTCTTCATTCGATTTGTTGATTTTCAGCACGACGTTGTATCGATCGAGCTGTGCGTGTGCGTGCGCGTGTGTGCGTATGAATGTGTGTCGAATTATCGGACGAAATCATTGATGCCGGCGCGATGCGATTTAGGTGCAAATCGAAAATCGCATTCGTCTCGAGCGACAGTAGGTTGAGCGCGAGCATGTCACATCGACATTTCATAATGAATCGTACTTTCCTGCGGTCTCTCGTAGCGTCTGGCCCGACGGCTTGTTAGCGACCGGTCAATGACATCGGTATTAGCGCGGATTTTCTAAGCTCGCGCTCGCGGCGGAACGAGATCCAGATTCGCGATCGACTTCGCTCGGCGTTATCTGCGCCGGCTTATCGTGCACGTATTGCAGCCGCTGCAGCGCGCTATGTGCAATCAACATTGACACACGACTCGCGCAAAGAGCGAGGTCCGGCAGTTGGAGGTAGGCAGTTGGTCTCACGCAGTCTTCAACATTGCCTTGCATTATTGAGCACAGAGAAAAACGCAAGCGGTAAGACACGAGAGTTAAGAAAATTGACCAATCACAATCGATTTTTCTCCAAGCGTAAGAAGAATCATCGACTGGTGGTTGATCAATTTGCTTACAGCTCCGGTTTTTCTGCGTGCCGTCTGCTCTAGGCGCGCCATGGCGCGCACAAAACATGAGCAGTAAGCAAATTAACCTGCCACAATCGATTGTTCTACACGGAGAAGAGTGGTTGAATTAAAGTGATACAACAACATTATTAAACGCGTTTTGGCTGAAAGAAACAGAATTTTTGGTCCTTACAAGAAAGAGAGAATTCGATGCTTAAAAATCAAGAATTTTTTCTTCGACCGAAAGTCGACGCTTCCAATTGTATCATTGTCGCGTTAATTCAACCGAATATTTTCCTCTGTGAAGAGCAATCGATTGCAGTTGATCGATTCGCTTACTGCTTACGTTTGCGTGTGCGCCATTGACCTTAGCAGAATTCGAATTATCTTCAACCTTCCGTCATATTCCTCGTCGCAACGTGATTCTTGGGATTCGCTTCGCCGGGTCTCGAGCACGAGGTGTTCTCTGTCGTGCGATCGATCGAGATCCACGCACTAATGGGCAGAACACACGTTCGACGTCGGTACCGGATCGTCTGGCAGTTCCGTTAACTCGAAGTTTCCTTTACGTAACGTTTATTCGCACATGCACCTCGTGCTACAGTCCGCTGTGCGGGTCACTATCCCCGCGAGTGACTTCATATCGAACGAGCGGCCTTCAGCGGCGGTTTCGCTTCGACGCCGCGATCGATGCCCTCTTCGTTGTCGTCGTCGTCGTCGTCGTCGTCGTCGTGGTAGTTCCTACGGACGAGCGTTTAGCCGGTTTTCCAGGTCGCGCTCTCGCCCGGGCCATGATTAGCGCCCGTTTCGGCGGAAACGAATTATTGTTGTCGGCCGTGCGTCGCGTTGGTAACACTGCGAACGCGACGCCACGGCGAGAGAGAGATTTCAAGTTCGGCCGCTGGGCCACGGAAATTCCGCTCGCGATCGATCGCGGGGGTGAACTCGGCTGCGGGGGCCAGCGGGGCAGCGAAATTCGAAGGTACCTTCCTCCCTCATCACCCTCCCGCCCACTCTCGCGCGCCCACTTGCCCCCTCGGCCCCGCGGCTATCGATCTCGAAGCGTATCGAGGAAGTTTCTCGCGAGCAAACGAGTGAGTGAACGAACGAACGAACCAACGCGAGCGTGGGGGTAGCCACACATAAGTTTTAATTCGCAAGCCCCGGCTGGATGGTGCAGAGACACACTGAGATGGCCGGAGGCTATCGTTTTTGAGACGTCACTCACGAGACACGTGGACGAGACCACGTCGGGAACGAGTTCACGTGGCCGTACTGGACAAATCGGACTGGAGCGTGCGGGTTTCGTGTCGTCATTCGATGCAATTCAAATCGCGAGTCGAATCACGAACGTTCGTCACTTCTGATCATTGCGTTTGTACTTCTGACGATCTGAGCTCCCAAGCGACATGTTCCTTCCCTCCCAGTCCGGCGCCAGGAAGAGTTCGGTTTAACTTCGTGACACAGCGCACACCTGGTCGCACATCTCTTCGCAAATTTCTGTCGCTTCGTCGTCCAATATCACAGGGAGATTTCGCTGATGTCATCGTTGATTCTGCTGACTGAATGTACAGGCGCGTCTAAATTTGCGGTAACTTCGGAAAAGCTCGGCGCTCGCGCCGTTCGAAAGGTCAAAAGTTGGCCAGATAGCGCAGCACGTGCGTGGCGCACCGCGGACTCGACCCTCGACCCTGGAAAGATCGACTTTTCTTTATCGTAGAAAACGACATGATGTCGCGGTGTGCCGTCGTGCTGAAGGACGAGAGTCTAGCTCGCTGCGTAATCTTAATTAGGACGCGATGCGTAATCTTAATTAGATACTCGTATCTCGCGATTACAGGCTTTTCTTCGCTCTGCGTCTTTAAGGGAATGCCGGAGTCGAGTAAAGTTAAATTTATACGCAGAATTTGCGATCGAAGTGTCGAGCATAACAAGCATCTAGGATATAAAGGACTAAAACGCAGGAAAGAACAAACTGTAAACAGATTCGAGAGATTCTTGTATAAAATAAAATAAATATGATAAATATGATTTTTTTTTATTCATTCACGTCAATGGAAATGTATCAATGATTTATGAAAACGTGTCAGAAAGAATTTTTTCGATCGAATTTCGATCGTACTGATTTTCTGTCGGCGGGAGCATCAATTCGTAGCTGTTATAATTATAACGGTTTTCACGGACTGATCGTTCAATAATCGCCGGTGTAACGCTTTTGAGATTGGCGCACTCTCGAAATCGTAGCAGATCGACCGAGACGCCCGAGCAGCGCGACGATCTGAGGTCGCAGACGTGCGGACGGCCCCTAAATGCTTAATGCGCCAGACGGATAATTCGGATAATTCGGCCGGGGATCGCATTGAAAATAGCGCGACCGAGATTACTTGATCGGAGCGCAGCGTGAAAGCAGCACGGGGCAATTTTATATGCGACTGCATGAATGCAAAATCGGCCGCGTCGCGACGTCGCCCTCGTCGCCGACATGAGCCTGATGCTCGACTCGAACAAGAGGAAATCTCTCGAACATTGCTTATCAGTGCGTCGCTTCCTGCTTTCGAGAAATAAAAAGATGTTAAATTAACTAGTTAATGACCGAATAAAAAAATCGCTCGCACTTCAAGGAGCTCGAAACTGCGGCATTCCCAAAATCCGTCGAAGGGCGACTGTTACTTTCTCTCGAATTTTCCAACTCGTCTTTTCGCTCGACGTTCGCGTAGATTTCTCCGACAAATTTCTCCCGCGGAAAGCGCTTATCGCGAAAGTTTTGGAAATTCTTCGGCTTACGCGATCAGACGATGCTTTCCAAACTAAACATAGGATTGTGGTGTTGTGAAAGGTGCTTCAACCGAAGCAACTGGCTGCCGCCTGAAGCGCCCCGTTTCTGCGACAGCACGCCGGGCATCTATCGCTCGCGGATCTGCTGCGATAAAGACTTCTGCAACCAGAATTTATATCCCGATTTGTTATCTCCCGACTCGTCCAAATTATCGTCAGGTATTCTGCCGAGGGCTCGCGATCGACGAGAGCTCTCCCTGTATTTCTCTCTTTCTCTGTCTGTCGTGTGTAAAACGTAACCATTCCATACATAACACACACCCCGCCGTTATTACACACTAACCACATCGGAGATCGAGTGGACAGCATGGACTTTCGAAATAACAACAACAATAAAGGGCGGAACGCGGAGTAACGTCGGCTACCCCAAGCGGACGCATAGCTGTGCACCCTTCGCGGCGCGCCGTGCAACGCACGGGTCTCTCTCGCAGTCGGGAAACGCAGTCGCTCCGCGCGCGTGAAGCGTAAAATCGCCACATCGTCATACAGGAGAGCCAGACGATGCAACGCTTGACCGGTCTACGCCTGTCAATCACCGGCCAAGAATCTATCATCCGATACTGGATGCCATTATCGGCAGATAATCGAGTGTCTACTCGCGCACCGCGGCTTATAATTTCCAGGAATAATCTCTCACGACGTTTACAATTCATTTTTATGCCGTAACGAACAAGAGGTAGCACTCTTCATGTTTTGACTCGTCTCGTTCTCATCTTCCGATTCGCTCAAAATTCGAGTCATGCGCTTTCAATCTATAATAGCGAAAAATAATAGCGATCATTTATCAACGGGAAAGAGAACTCTTTAGTTGCGTACATGAAGTAAGAGAGAAGGAGATCGAACTCCGTGAAACGAAAGTGTCCTGATTCGTGTCCTTTAATTGAGAGGGAATTCGCTGAAAGGAATAACTTTTTATGGTTGGGCGCCATTTGCAAAACAATAAGTTAGAGCGAGATAAAATATACTTGTCTCACTCTTATTGCACCAGTTCAGTAGTGCAGCTCTTTAGCTGCCACTTTTCCTACTCGCGCCCTATCAAGTTCGATCTTCTTATCTCTTCATGGTTGCGTAACATTTACGCGACTCTCTTCTCTTCAACTCGAAACTGCAAAATTAATTGACAGAGAGAGATGATCGCACCTCAAAAGCGAGACAGTCTCGGCTTTCGAATGCAACTTGCCCCGTGTCGCTACGACATTTCTACGCAAAGTTATTGGCGGGCGGCGAGTCGTTTGAAGTTCGACTACAATGTTACCACCGTTCCTTTATCGCGGACCGCGCCGCCGAGAGGTGTGAAATCCGCGGCTCGAACTCACTACAATGTACTACGCGCGCCGTCGCCGGTGCCGACGGCAAAGAACACCGCGCGTGCCTTTTTTGTTGGAAACACCGAATACTTCGAACGTCCTATCTCAACGAAAAATTGACGTAGGAGCGCCAAACAAAAGCCCTCCTTTTCAGTTTTTCGCGCACTACGCGCTCGTGCTCCTCACGTATCCCTTTTCCTTTTTTTATCAGGACGCGCGTATTATGTGTACGATTACGCACGCGGCATCGAGATATATATTATATATTATTGCGTAAAAACATCGGAACATATTTGGATGTGCAAGCAGGGAGAAGAAGGAAAGTCTCAGTCGCATAAAACACCAAGTTTCGCGTGTATCTCGAGACATTTCGCGCAACTTATTCTTCCCAGCGTGCTGCGCGAGTTTCAATTGAGGATATCGTATTTATCAATATCGAACAGAAATTCTTCCTTGGCTGATGTATAATGTTATTGCCAATATCCGATGAAAAATTGGCTGCCTGCGACTGGCCCGATTTACAATCCGAAGCCGGGCCAAGTCGGCTGCAAGAATCTGAAATAGTACTAAATACGTACGGTCTAGCAGCAATTGATTGCTTTATGATCGGCAAGGTCAGTCATAAAATCCAATATGGGTTCGCGCGTTTCACATAAATATCTCACTAACAAGCGACACTCCGTACTTTCCGCGTTTCCCGAGTCTCTTGATCCACACGACGCGACCAGCCCGACGGAAAGTTTAATAAAATTTTTCTCATCAGCAAGAAGCAGCACCGGACAAACATTTTAATCGTCCGTTGCCCCTGCATCTACATACACGCCCACACGCCCGTCGCGCGCGTTACGTGTACGCGCGTTTGCGCGTAGATAATAAGCGCGAACGTGCGCGCGGGTATTTAATGCTTACGGCTGTCTGCATCGATCAGCCGAACAACACATGTACTAGCCGTACAAACAGACTTAATAACGAACTTCCTAACGAGACCATTAACTGCAATCCCCGTGATGATCGAGTGTCGTGTTTGGATTCTCCCTGCGTTTGCCACTTCCAATCCGCGCCGAGTCCGCGCTGCTCGACACGCCGGCCGAGCGAGGATCGTCGCGTCGCGATTTGCGGTTTCGCGTGCCGTTTCGCGTTTCCGGTGGATGCGGAATCGATCGTCCACCTCATGCAGTCGCTCACGTGAATCAGCGTGGCGTTGGCTTTAGACGGAGGACGCACAGGAGCGATTTCGTGCGTCCGAGATTTCGCGGTGAGCCGCGCGGCGGATTCGTACGCGGCGGATTTGCGACGATCGAGTCGGAGCGCTTTGTGGCTCACCTTGACGCGCGTGTCGCGACGAGCCGCGATTTGCATATGTTGCGAATGAAAGACTCCGCGCGACCGACCACGGCCACGGTACACATTTATATCCGGCAAACTCGGGAATCTATTCCGAGCTCGGAGACCGGTATTTTGCCTCGACATTTTTCTAGCGATAGAACAGGCGGTCATGTGGAAAGAGGAAAACACAGCGAACGACTCGTCGCGCGAACAACACTTGCGTTACTTTGCAGCGTGTTACTTGACTCTGTCGTCATCCGCAATTTTAATATTAATCAGTCATTCGATCACTGCGTCAGTTTCGCGCCGAAGCGACGCAAAACACCTCAGGGAATCGCATCCTTCATGAATACACGCGGAGTAGTCGCGCTTTACTGCTGAGCACAGCCGAGTTTTTGACCCCGACTACTAACAAACATACAACTGCATCCTGATGTCCATCGTTTGCCCCTAACCCACATTTTCTTTGCTGTGCCGAGTTTCGGTTTGCCAGAATGTGCGAGGTGTGCCTGCTTGGATGAAACGATGGATCGTTTCCGGGCGATCCGGCGCGTCTCTCCCCCGACGTCGGGCTCGAGATCGTGCCTCTTCTCGGGTTCGCCGGGGGTTTATACCGTGGAGAACAAGTCCGATCGATAGACGGACTCGCGTCGCGAGTCCGACGCGGGGCCGTATCGCGTTCATACCATGTTGTACCGTTGTACGCTGCCAATGCGCCATCCCGACAGGAGTCGGCAGAATTTCAGGAATCACGAAGGTATACGAAGGCTATACTCTACTCTGCGCTGGCTACCCCCACACACATGTCAGGTATATCACGAGAGTGTGTTGAGTTGCACGGTATTGCGGATTTCTCTTGCTCCTCCACCCGACTACCACCAGCCGCCCCGCACTCGCATCCTCTCCCGGTTTTTTACGTTTTCTCGTTTCTTTCTTTCTCTCTCTCTCTTTTTTTTTTGAGTATTTCTCTTACGGTTTTGCTGGAGTTTGCTCACAATGACCCTGTTGTTCTCCCTCGAACAGCATCCGCATCCGTGTGAGTTGTGGTGCAAGAAAGTAACTCAGCCGCGCATTCCCGAAACGTCGCGGCTAATTCATCATCGGCGGACGCATAGTTGTGCAATTCGATTTGTTTGGCGAGACCTCACCGCCCTCGCCTCGTTCGATTGAAGCGATCGGACGTCGCGTGTGTAGTGAGACTCGGGCAAAGTTGATTACCTTGAAGCGCGATTTAAAAAAAGAAGAGAATACCAAAAGACTGAATCACTGTCGCGCTTAGAAATATAATCAATGAATACCCTCATATTATCATCAGGTGCAGCAACAAAAATCGAGCGACACTGTCAGGCGAATTAAGGAACAATTTGATAAAACGCCGGGAAATTCTCGATACTTTCGGTAGCACGACGAAATAACCAATTGGCCGAAGCTCGAGATACTCGATGCGAATTGAATAAGAATTCAAGACTTGAGAGCGTAAAAGTCTTCAAAAGGTCATATAAAACTGAGGAAAAATATAAGGAACCACAATATTCATTCAAGAGTGCCAGGGTCGGTCGACCAGCGCCGCTGAGAGAACGCTCAGTCCGTTAACAGTGCCGTTTAACGCGCCTCTAATCATATCAAATGGCGCAGAAGATAATCGCGATATCGGCGAGCGGAGGCGGGCTCGGGGAACGCAGCCTTACAAACGCGCTAATCCCTTTTTGTCGTGCTACCGTAGGATCGGATTCCCGTTCGGTTTTTGCCTCGGAACCGCACGAAACGTTCCCCCCTCGTCCCCTTCGCCCCCTTTCGATGTCTCGCAATCTATCGTGCGCGACGCGACGCGACGCGCGTCGTGTCGAGTCGAACCTGAGCTCCACGTTCGCGATCTCGTTTTCTGAAACTGGTGCAAAATCGGCTTGAAGGTGCGTGCATAAACAGCTGTCGTCGTCGCAGCCCGAGCCGTTCATCCTCTGCATGACGAGCGACTCGCGAAACATGACCTTCGTCATCGAGTGCTGCAATCAGGATTATTGCAATCGGTATCTGAAACCCCAGCTGCATCCTCGCAACAAAGAAGGTACAATCCACAATTGACCTGGAAGTTACGAAAACTCTGCAGGTGGCACGGGCTTTTGCTGCTACTCTCCTTTTCTCATTTTCTTTTTCTGTACATATATATATCTTTGTTTCTTTATCTGTCTTTTTTTCTTTTTTCTCACTACGCCTGTCTGTTTCTCGCGCGACACAATCTGTACATACACTCATCCTGTCTTTTTATTTCGGAATGATTATAACTGTCTCACGTTACCGTTCTATGTGTCGATCTGTACGATGTAAATTGAAAACAATACATTGCCGGACGATGCGACTTGTCCTTTTACTTTGATCTTGGAAGATGCTTGGTCGCGCGCGAGCTCCCGCGCGAACTTAACATTCGCGTTACATCCCGCAAAGGTTCTCGGAAGTGAATTAAGATTAACGAAAGAACAAGGCCGACGAAATAGGTGACTTTGTGTGTGCTATAAAGGAACTATTTCCAAGTTTGAGATCAGTTTGACCTGACCCGCGCGACTACTTAAGTGTTAAAGGGGCAGCTTCAGGCGAGTCTGGTCTCGCTTGATCTTAATAAATCGATTCCATTTGCACGTATATGAATAAACCGGTCTGATACTTCTCAACTGATGTATAACTCTGTAAAAGAGAGTAGTAACTATATCTCGCGCGACGTTAAAAATTAGATTCGTCTCTTGAAAGAATCGATCGTCTGGAAGGGTCTCGCGTAGACGTGGGCACGTCATGAACCATCGTGAGCAACGTAGAGGAATACGCACGCGACTCACAGCAGTTTCCAGCGCGCATCTGTTACAGGATGGAAACGGTTCAAGCACCGGTTAGAGGGTTTTCATGTAGTCAAGGAATTAGCCAAGTCGCGGGCCATTTTTTATGGTCAGAATAATGCGTTACGTCATGGTCTCCGGCAATGTACATTCCTTTGTCTCGCTCGCGCTACGTCGTCTCGTACTTGCTCTGACACGCTCTCTGTTGCGCTCTCGCCCCCGTTATCTGTGCGTACAGGATGTTCCAAAATCATTCCGACGATACTTCAGGAGCGGATGTTTTCTCAAGCAACGGAAACAATAATCATTCAATTTCTGATATTCTAACAATCAAGACAGTTCCATATTTATATCATATTGTAAAACTCAATCACAATAATACATATTGTAAAACAAAATAATACATATTGTAAAACTCAATCATAATAAATTTCGTTATTTTATTTACACTTTCTAATAATTGTCTGAGACTTGTTGCATTTGCAATCTCTTTAAAATATCGAAACATACTTGTGCATTGACATTTATATTCTTTTATTTTTTTCTTAAAGATTAAGATCCCTCTAGATTGGAAAGAGAGTTTCTCCTAAGTTATCGCCTGGCTTTGGTACACCGTGTACATTTCTATATCCGTATATAATGCCATGTGCACTACATATATGTATATTGTGTGCGGAGTAGAAAGCTTCCGCGGCGCTGCACCACGCTACACGCAGACTTGCACACGCGATGTGCTCCTCGCGCATTCGCGGATGCACGTTGCACTCTCTCGTTCGCCGTTCATTGCGTCCAATAAAGCGCAACGTGTCGGGTTATTTTATACCGCGGTTTCTTGAACCGCGATGGAGTATTTTAGAGTCCCGCCGCCGCCGGAGGCGGCGCACACACACACACACAGTGAGACGCGAAATTAAAGGACTATATAAAGCGTGTACGGCGCGCTAATCGATATCGGTGGCATCGTTTCGCCTGAACATCTTGATTCGCCGTACCGATACACTGTGTATTGTGCTCGATTTTATCTCTGTCGTGGAACGCGTCCACCGTCACGTCGCGAAAGTTGATCGAATTATCATCGATTCCGTACAGAGAGAGACAGACGCCGCAATATTTCGTCCGGCACGCGCGCAACAAGGAGCGGTACAGACAAGCGTGATCAATAATCGTTCAACATTTCCATTACCTTCCGTCACTTCTCCATTTTCTTCCGCTCTTCCCGAGCAGCATACGCCCACGATATTTACAGGCGCGGCGCGATGTTATTACGGGTCGCTCATTTATAGCCAGATAATGAGATCAGATCGAAATCGACGTGAAATAGATAAAAGCACAATAGGAAAACACGACGCGAGATAAAAAGAATTCGGATAAGATAATTCGAGTACGCGGCGTACTTTCGAGTAATATTGAATAAATAGATAGGGAAAAAATGAAGAACGATCGAGATCATTTTTGCCACCTACGGAGATATCGTACACGCTTCGAGGCAATCTCCTTCTGTATTTTCTTACCTACGAGCGCGCATCCCAACACCGGAAGTCCTCCCGAGTGAACTCGGAAAGCACCGGTAGCATGTTGTCACAGCTCTCTTCTCTGCATTCCTCTCTCTCTCTCTCTCTCTCTCTCTCTCTCTCTCTCTCTCTCTCTCTCTCTCTCTCTGTAACGATAGTACTCCGCTAGTAATATCCCGATAGCGCGCGGCCCTCGAGAAACAGTGTGGCTTTTGTAAATATTCTTTCGTATCTATTTTTCTACCTTAGCTCTTCGTAGGAAGGAAATAGCAACTCACCCGGACTATTTCCCTGTAGAACTCACGGTACTTCTCTGTCTCTTTATTAGCTTCTGCAGTAATATTAAACACGCCCGATTGTCCGGTTCATCATTACGTCGGAGAACGAGCCGATGTGAGATTGACGTGAGATCTCAAGCGAAAGAAAGAAAGAAAAAAAAAAATAGAAAGAAAAAGAAACCTCGTAATCGCGACAGAAGAAGAGAATCGTTGAGAGTCGATTATTTGTGCATTGGAATCGCATCGCTATTAATCCACCTTTCGCAAGTACATCTAATGCCAAGTTTGTCGTTATTAACCCTCGCAAGGCAAAAAGTAGATTTCAGCGGGAATTCTTCTTGAGAGATTGCGAGGGTTAAAGAGGATCGGGGAGACCCACGAAGCAATATCTTCACCTCCGCATGCCTTCTGACTTTATGTAGCTGTTTATCGTTTTATGCTGTCGAGCATCTCTATGGAACTTGAAGCGCATCGAGACAATGTACCTCTCCTCCTTTTTACGAGTAGTAAGACGAAATACTTCTTTTTCTCTCTATTGATGTTCGTATGAATTGCGACTGTTGCAGCAGAGGGTGTATTGTGAAATTCGCATCGAAAGACTTCAAAGTATTCAGGATTCTAATATAGTATCAATATATCTCTCTCTCGCGTTAAATTGACGTTCAATCTTTAGAAATGACTTCACCTGGGATCAGTCGCCAGAGAGTAAAAGAACGTCAAGACTCTCGAGACTCATTCATTTAAATTGCACGTATATACGTCCTGAAACTTTGATGCGAACTTTACGAAACACTGCATATACGTGTACTCATATCAGTCGGCGTGTCATTAAGGAAAATGTGTAATATGTTCTCAAGAGCTCATATAAAAATTCCTCCAGTGTCTCAAACATTTACATTTACCGTGCGCAAAGACTGAAGAAGAAGAAGAAGAACGGGACGTCCTGTCGTTACACCTTTCAGAAATGCGGCGACGTGTCATCGGTCCACAAGCTGCCCACACAGATTTTCCTTGGACACGTGCGGACTCACCTGTGAAGACTCAGTTGCACCGGCAGTGTCGATTAGTCTCGCTCTGTGATTAGCGATTACCTGCCTCTTTGCAAATTACCGCTTCAAAGCTCCCGATTATGACTCCAAATTGCAGCGTCAGCTATAACACAAATAGAGAAGCAAATCGAGTTAATCGGAAGGGGAGGAGGCTGACCAATGCCGGTGCAATCGGATCTAGTTGTACGCTCTAATCATTTCTTCTTCTCTACAGCTTATTAGAACCCGTGTGTATATTTACCCGGTTTAAAAAGTTGCCATTAGCGTTCCCGCCGCTGTCAATCTCTCAGACATCGCTCCACTAAAATCTCGCCTTCGGTGACTCGCTAATTATGCATCCCCGTCGTTCGCGATGTCTGTACGAGCGCGTTGCACGAGACCTTAACGTTTTGCGGCAACCACGAAAGTGGGGAGAACGTCTCCGCTCTTTTTTCTCTTCCTGATGTTCTCTTTTTGTTCTCTTTTTGTTCTTTTTTTTTTCTTTTCATTTCCTTTCCGTTTACTTACTTTTCTTTTCCCGACGAACGCGAACCGCGGCAGTCCGCGGCAGTACTCGTCATGTAAATTGTTTTCTCAGGTGTTACAATAAGACGAACTTCTTCCCGGACATCGACTTCTCCATTTGGTGCACCACGAACAGTTTGCTACGCGATCAAGATGGCATCCAATTCATGGTCGCCTGTTGCGATCATTCCGACTACTGCAATCGCGATCTAAGGCCCTTCTTTCCTCCTCACGAGTCCAGAGGTCGGCCGTACTCTCGCTTCGCGAACCTCGAACGAGGTACAATAAATCGCAGCTAAAGGGGCTGCCGCGGGATTCCTCGCCGCCAAGGTCGCTTCTACTCCCGCGAAGTTCGTTTTCCCGTCGAACGAGATTCCCGCGAGAGTAAATCGGGAAGGATTCAATGGCGGGATCCGTACTAAACGGAGCATTTTCTAAACGCGACATCGAGGCGAACTTCGGAGAGAATAAATTTTGCGGAGGAGAATCACGCGAGGCAGATTTTCCTTTCGATCGTTGAAATTTATGACGTGTTTTTACGTGCGCACAAAATTGTTGTTATCGCGGAGCTATTAGCGACGGAACACCTCGCCTCCGTTGTATAATAACATTTGTAAATACAAGTGATTTCCATCGGCTCTCTCGGATTCACAATGGAATTTTCACGTCGAGAAATTCGCGTCATGAATTCGATTGCAACGGAAAATTTCTCATTAGTTTCTACCTCTCCTCGCTTCGATCGTCAAAATCCGTCCGAATAAAAATCTGTCGAACAATTCGGTTCGCTCATTTCGCAACGCGAGTAATACTCATCGTCGCGGAACGATACGCGGCACATTTTCCGCTTTGTTCGTCCCGAATAGATCAGCCGTCCGTGATACGATAGCTTTCGCCTCTG